TTATATTAATGTATGTATGTATATTTGGTTTTGAAATCATGTACGTATGGATAACTATATATGTAGTAGAAATAGATACTAGGAAATGCAGGCTCATACTATTGCACACACACTTAGCAAGGGTTAAACAGGTATGATATACTATGAATATATTGCCGTTGAGTATACAGAATGAAGCACCGTTTCAATGCGATATTTTGGAGGTGATTTCTTAATGTTTCTCTTCGTAGCAGTGTACGCTAAGAATTCTGGTGTCTACCGCCTAGCCGCGATCACATTTAGGTTTGAGCTTAAACTAAGCACCAACGGAACATGTATTTCCACACAATAACCTCACATACACATCCCATGTGAACGATAAATCTCCCATATTAACTATGTAACTATTATTGGCACAGCACGTGAGCCTAAACTAAACGCCCATGGAACAACATGTACTTCCACACAACAACCCCACTTACACATCCCGTGTGATCGATAAAGCTCCCATGTGAACGATAAACCTCCCATATTGACTAAGGAACTATTATAGGCACAGCACGTGAGCCTAAACTAAACGCCCATGGAACAACATGCACTTCCACACAACAACCCCACATACACATCCCATGTGAGCGATAAATCACCCATGTTAACGATAAACCTTCCATATTAACTACGGAACTATTAAATGCACAGCACGTGAGCCCAAACTAAACGCCCATAGAACAACATGTACTTCCCCACAACAACCCCACATACACATCCCATGTGAACGATAAACCTCCCATATAAAAACCACAAGCCCATTATATGCACAGCACCTTTTCTATGTGGTACTTCGGGGGTGGCTTCTTGTTATTGCCTGCCTGTAGCAGTGCTCGGTATGCCGTCTGGTGCCTTCCGCTGAGCCGCGCTAAGCGAGCAGATTTGAGCCAGTACAACGCTTTAAGGTCCATTGCCGCACGCAGGTTGGTGAAGTAGTCTTTTTGGTCGTAGTGCTGTGACACGAAGAGAAAAAGTAGTTTACTTATAAACTCAGCGTTTAAAGGGGTTAGGGTTTGAGGGTTTGAGGGCTTATGCTTATCATACCTCGAGATCATTCGTCGCATGCAGGTTTGTAAAAGGGGTTTACACCAATTCCTGCAGATGCCTCGCCTGGCTGCATTCAGCATCACAACACAGTGAAACGACTGGTGCGGGTTATCGCTACATCGACTGTACGCCCAAGCAGGCGTGAGTCACGAACAAACTAGACTCACACATACACATATACAACATACACATATTCACATCCACGTCCACATTCACATATCCTAGTATATATATCCTAATATATATCCATATCCATACACACACACACACACACACACACACACACACACACACACACACACACACACACACACACACACA